TGACCCTGTCTAACACGTAGTATAGTGTTAACCTTGTCTCTGACCCTGTCTAACAAGTAACATAGTGTTAACCTTGTCTCTGACACTGTCTAACAAGTAGTATAATGTTAACCTTGTCTCTGACCCTGTCTAACAAGTAGTTGGGTGTTAACATTACCTCTTACCCTGTCTAGAAAGTAGTTCTGTGGAAACATTACCTCTGACCCTGTCTAACAAGTAGTATAGTGTTAACCTTGTCTCTGACCCTGTCTAACACGTAATATAGTGTTAACCTTGCCTCTGACCCTGTCTAACACGCAGTATAGTGTAAACATTAACTCTGACCCTGTCCGACAGGTAGTATAGTGTTCACCTTGCCTCTGACCCTCTCTAACATGTAGTATAGTGTCAACCTTGCCTCTGACCCTGTCTAACAAGTAGTATAGTGTTAACCTTGCCTCTGACCTTGTCTAACACGTAGTATAGTGTCAACCTTGCCTCTGACCCTGTCTAACAAGTATTATAGTGTTAACCTTGCCTCTAACCCTGTCTAACACGTAGTATAGTGTTAACCTTGTCTCTGACCCTGTCTAACACGTAGTATAGTGTAAGCATTACCTCTGACCCGGTCTAACACGTAGTATAGTGTTAACCTCACCTCTGACCCTGTCTAACACGTAGTATAGAATTAAATTTGTCTATGACCCTATCCAACACGTACTATAATGTTAACCTTGTCTCTGACCCTGTCAAACACGTAGTATAGTGTTAAACATTACCTATGACCCTGTCTAACAAGTAGTATAGTGTTAACCTTGTCTCTGACCCTGTCTAACATGTAGTATAGTGTTAACCTTGCCTCTGACTCTGTCTATTACGTAGTATTGTGTTAACCTTGCTACTGACCCTGTCTAACAAGTAGTATAGCGTAAACAATACATCTGATCATCTCGAGAATTTGGGTTTGCACGAGAATAGCCTAAACTTCTGCCTCATCCCTGTGCCTGGGGAGATGTAATTAGTCGGTAAAAGATTTCGCACACATATACTTGACATAAATATCAGTCAAGTGAGTTGAAAAGCTTTTCAAACCAATATGGTTTTACTATTAATGAAATGTATTACTTTAATACTAACAACATGTTTTCTCTCTCGACAGATTGTAGCATGGTAACTTTAATATTATAGTTTCATATGGATCAGATAAGTATACGCTTAAATATTGGCTTGAAAGTTTCCCTTTAATTTGACACCAAATAATAATTACCGTAGGCTAGCTATAAAGGACTACAACTATATATCCGACCAGATGGAGGAGAGTCTTGACAGTGGTAATTAAAGTAACTAGTTAGTCGTTCTGTCGTGTTGACATTGTCTTGATATGACTTTAGTTCATTTGTGTTAGAAGTTAACCCTGAAAAAGCTATCACAGTTAAACCCATAATGTAATTAGAGCTGAAAAGTATAGACAACTTGAGTGAATATGTAAATAGGAACTGGTTATATATTTTGTAAGTAGCATTACTTTCTGTTTTAAGTTATAAAGTGATCACAAAGCCTCACGTTTGCCGACAGCTTATATACGTTTACTGTACAGATTTTCCATAGAAATACAAACTTAGGTCTAATTGAAAGCGTTGATATACACATCATCCGATCTGTATACGTCAGGACTTCCGGGCTATCTGTTCCATATCTACGTCTTCATTCTTTGATACGCTGATATACAGGGCGCTGAAAATATTATCAAAATATTAACTGGTAACACTTAACCAAAAGTGATACCGATATTTTTTTTTACCTTTTTGTGCACATATCAAACATCATGGATAGAGTCAATGAATCAGTTACAAGTGGCATCATACCGGAAGCTAAGAGTGGGTATGATCTTGAACTGTTCGGTATCAACGATGGGTCGTTTGTTTTGTTACATTCCCTAGCGATCACGTGTCTTGGCTTGAGTATATTGTCTGCTCTTTGCGTAATCGTTGCTTCAACAATGGACCGAGGACTGAAAGGGATTTTCTCTTGGACCAAAAGTGAGCGGTTTGTTTTCTATCTGGCTTGCACTGAAACAATTCTTGGCATTACCCACCTGTTAGACCACTCTCAGATTCTAATAACACGGGACCATGTGCGACCTGCTGTGTTATGTCAGGCTTATGGATTCGTTCTCTACATTTTTGTTTTCGCCGAGCTGTTCACTGTCAACATAATAGCGGTTACCATTTTTTTTATCATTTATCTTCGAAAAAAAGTCGAGTACGGCTCAAGAGATTGGAAAGTGTTTCTTTGGATATTTGGTTTGCCCTTTACGTCCGCTGTTGTACTTGCTTCTATGGGACAGTTCGGAACAAATACAACTTTGTAAGTATTATTTTATATTGAACGTCCTCTCCTTAAAATGTTTTTTTTTGTTAATACTTTTGAACTTTCAACTCTTCACACTACCATACCTCCTACCAAATTAAAGAAGCATATGCAACGCCTTAACCACTTGGCCACCGCGGCCACATTCTGGTACTGCCATCCCTCCAACACTGGATCGCAGGTTCGATGCCTACGTGGGGCAGTCGCCAGGTACTGGACGTAGGTCGGAGGTTTTTCACCGGGAACTCTGGCTTTCCTCCACCACCAAACCTGGCACGTCCTTAAATGACCGTAGCTGTAAATAAGACATCAAACACAAACAAAATTTGAAACATCTTCGTGCTCTTATGAGAGCTTGCCATGGTCATACTCCATGGGGACAGAACACATTGTCTTTCTCACCTGGGTAAACGTTCAACATTAAATCCAAAAGTAAGGTGTTGCCAAAAATGCGCTAGTAAATTAAAGATAGTTGGAAGTAGAGAGAAATATAAAGATCCCAAATTGGTAAAAACGGGAATTGGTTTTGTCTCCAGGCAGGTACATACCAAAGTCATTAAAATGGTATAATGTAGTTGGTATCCTCTGCTTTACGTTCAGCATTTAAGGGAACGAAAACAACTGGTTCACCTGTGTCAGTATAATGTGACCGGTCGGAATCATTGTGTTGTATGTATGGTATGTGATGGGTGAGAGAGACAAGGATGTAATGTATGGTCGAAGGGAGATAAGTTTGTAACTGTGTTTAGGAACTCTCCTAAAGGAGGTGAATTCGGGGACTTCTGATATAAAGATTGAAAAACACAGACGCTAATGTTACACATTTTCACACAGCCAAGCAGTAATACATAACATGGTGGATAATCCTAAACCGGGAGAGATGTAGACACGTTTAAAGTGTGTTGTAGCATTTCCATGTGAGTTTTATCTGACTCTTATGTCTACCGACAACGGATACGCTGGGTCAAAACCCGGTGTGGTGAAACCACGTGCGGCGATGGCGGGAGATGTATGGTGTTCTCAACATTTGTGCTAAACTTTTGTTTTGCTTACATGATTTCCTGTTATTGATCAAAGTAGATCACGATGATTACTAATATACTGTAGTGTTTACAGTGGACCTGGATGATAGTGCTCTGATTCATTTCCTTTGATTCCAATTTCGTCTGATGATTCCTGTCTATGAAGATGAACAGCGGCATTGATTACATGTGGGTCGATATAAACATGTCATGATTTTGTTTCGCCAGTTGCCATAGAAAATGTAAACATAATCGTGTATCGAAGCCAGGAAAGCCAAAACCTTTTCGTTCCGGGAAAGTTCAAGAATGTTTCATCATCCATATTTTTGGACACTAATTTGATTACGTCAGCACCCAGCGGTTCACGACTTGAGCCATACATGATCATAGGGGATTGGGAAGAAACGGTGTGCAGTTTAATTCAACAAATTTCTACTGATTTTCCCCCCTGGCAGTTTTACAGTCCATTTGTTTCCTGTGAACTTTTTCTCAACAAACTGACCAATATACCGTCCGAAATATGATTGACATAAACTTTTACAAATCGTGTTTTACTTAGAAGATCAAGACCAGTGCACAAGTGAAAGACATAAACATTGACAGTCGTAATTCATAGTTCAGAACTGGTTAGGAATATTTTTGTGATGCTCTTGATTCTAACCCTAACTGTCTGTAATTTGTATCGTAGGTTTTAGTCACCATGATGATAACGAGCAAACGTGCAAAATATCGAAATTATATCATTAGATATCCGTTTTGAGCAATCGTTTAGCATGTGATGAACTCCTTTTGTCGGATTTTGAATTTGTTTGAGATTGATATATAGGTTTTTGTGATTATTGATGAACCATAAGGCCAATACCGAGATATTGTTCAGCACGCATAGGAAGCTACGATAAGGCTGATAGGGATAAGTATAAAGCTGGCAGGTTAATGTTGTATTTTGGTATTGTAGGAAGTGTTATTGGGTTACTCTATAACTTTAAATCACATTGTCATATGACACAACATGATGATACTGTAATAAGAAGTGAGTTGAGTATTACCTAAACAACTTAACCATTTTGTTGTCATGGAAACTTGTATTGGAAAATTGATGTGTATTAAGTGTTGAGCTTGTTTTGAGAGTTGATTGATACTGTATATGTAATTTTGTGTACCATAAGGCCAATGTTATTGTATTTCAGCACGCATAAAGCGACGTGAGGCTGAAAGGTGTAATACAAAACAGGGCAGGAAGTCAATATTGTTGGTAGTTTTATGTATAGGTTGCTTTATAACTTTAAATCACATGGCCAATGGCGCAACATTTTGATACTGTTAGATAATACAGTTAGTTGAGTATAACCACTAAAACTGTCCATGTCTTGTGAGTCCATTTATGGTTAAGGTATCAGTTAATGTATCAGTATGTTATTGTTTTGAATCATGAACTTGACAGAATGTTGATCTAATAGAAACTTGTGCTGGTGATAACCTACATGTATGATTATGAATAATTACATTTGTATTATTTCTTCAATTACATTTTATTTTCGCACCCATGTTAAAATTGTTGTGGTATAATTTTGTTTTGTCGGGCGAGATGTTGTATGTATGGTATGTGATGGGTGAGAGAGACAATGATGGAATGTATGGTCGAAGGGAGATAAGTTTGTAACTGTTTTTAGGAGGTGAATTCGGGGACTTCTGTAATAAAGATTGAAGAAGACAGACGCTAAATTGTTACACATTTTCACACAGCCAAGCAGTAATACATAACAATTGGCATGGTATTTCAGTGAGATAGCACTATAAAGGGTATGTTGATGTATTTGCCTCCCCTAAGCAGAATACAGAGGAAATGCTGTGGGATACAGCAGACATATTATTCGCCAAAGGTGCACAGGTTACGGAGCGTCACAGATAAGAAAAGTTCCTCTGTCCCACTTCATACAGTTGCATACGTCGTCATAGGGAGGCAGAATTCACATTTTGATATCGGGTTTTGTGTCCATATCATACAGTTATAACCCTTAGATCTTTTTGCAGGTAGGTGTCCGTCGAGAAAAGAATATATCTGATGTACCTGATCGCGACCCTTGAGATTTGCGTTTGTGCCCTCTAGGCTCTACTAATATATTGAAACTAATGAATTGTTTGGGTTTAGGTTTAGGTTTGTATTCTTACAGCTTATAAACTACCTTTTGTTTCTTGGTGCCTTGCTTGGCAGTACCTCACTATTGGCTTCAATGTTAGCGTTCGGACAGGTGAGAAAAGCAATTAGTTCTGTGTCCATGCCGGGACGGACAAAAGTCCTTATAAATGTTTTTTATTGTTACTTGAATATTGCTTAGCGATTAGGGAAATTCACCTGTTGTCAGTAATATGTGACCGAGTTGAATGATATGATGGGTGCTTTTGACATTGTATTTCAGGGACATGGCACAATGAAGTCGGCATCAGTTCCGCACTATCGCAAGGAGGCAATTTCACAAAAACATACCCTGCCGCAAGCACCCATTTATATGGGCATAGGGAGCAAATCCATACACAAAATTGTCATAACAGGCATAGCAATATTAAGAGTATCTTGTCATATATCAATCGGCTACCGAAACAAAGAACATTTGTTTTCTTTACGAAAACAATAATCTTTAAACTGTGTTGCCATTGCCATAAATACTATAAAAGACGTTTTTTCCTTCTTACTACTGAAAAACTTTCCTTACTACAATACAGCAAGAATGGTTCTTTGTTACTCAAAGGGTATAAATGGATGTTTCCATGCACCTTACGGGCGGTTATTATTCCATTTCTTCGGTTCTGTTGTTGTAGATGTCATTCCGGCATTATTACCTTTTCAACTCTGATAACTTTTTTTTTTTATTTGCGTATCACCCTTTTTACAGCTAAGGTCATTTCAGGACGTCCATCCATGTATGTGCCGGAGACAGGGAATGTTGGTGTTCTTGCCTCCATGTGAAAGCGCAGAACTCTGATAAGAACGTTGTCAGGATAACTTGCATTCCAGTAAAACGTATCTGTACATCTACTGTTGTAAACCACGCTATCGTTCTATAGTGAATACAAATTTGATTTTCTTTGATGATTGAATCTTGATTCAGAATCTCATCCAAATTGGAAAAAAACTATTCTGTGCCTCATTTGATTCATTACCGACGGTCCCATTTGCCGTAATGCAAAGAAAATTTAATATTTGACACAACATAGAAAAATTGAAGAATTGTAATAAAAAACGTGGATCAAAGAAAATAAAACGACATTCACAGCTGTGTCATATGAAGACAATATTCATAGAAATAATTCAGATGTTTAGAATTCGTTGTCATTTCAGCTGTTTTTTCGATGCTGTGAGAGGAACGACAAGCAACAGTGTCGTCGCTATACCAATAATCGTCATCCTAATCACCAACACTATCCTCTATGGTCTGACCTGGCACAGGATAAGAAGTGAGACCCGCGATATCGAAGTGTCACTCGGCCCAAGAGTTGAAGCTACAAGCAGATCTCATCGTGCTGCTAGGAACATGCTTTTATTTCTGGTCGTGTACTTTATTCAGTGGTGGCCCGCCTCTGTGCTAAGTATTTTCGTCCTCTTCCCAAATCCACCATTGGTACTGATCTACTTGGTGGCAACCTTCTCAAATATAGGCGGAATTCTGAACGGGGTTGTGTACTTCTTCATCAGAAGGAGGAGGTACACCTCGAGTTGACAACACAGCCCAACAACTAAGAGGAGCATTGCTTCAAAAGTTGAAAAGGGTGGGTCTACCTTTGACCAATGAAACCATTTACCAGAATTCTGGAAAGCCTCGTTTTGACTAAACAAAACTATAGCACTGGGTTTTACCAGACTCTCTGTTCGGCGTAGCATGCGCGGACAAGAGTCTGCTCCTCGAACAGGTAATGCGCTTTTTATACCTAGCGAGACCCATACTCGTTACAAAGCAAGGACAAACTTAAATGTTGACACTTCCTTGGAAACGATAGTAGGAATAGATGTGGAAGATCTCAAACCAGATTTTTTTTTATTTACTTTTTAATCTCAATTTAAAGCTTTTTAACTTGCACTGTCAGCTTTAAATACAAGTCAAAGTGTTTATAAAATAAAACATCATATCATCAACGTCCTGGCCATACATAATTAAATTCTGACCTTTGAAGTGATTCAACCCTCGAAACTTTGAATAAAGGTCAAGGTGATTTTATTTTCTCTTAAATAATGCAGCACTCCAGTCCAGCAAGCCACCTACAGTCTATTCAAAAGCCAGTTTAGTGTTGAATTAAGTTTTCCCCTGTGAAAACGAAAACAGGTCCCGAAAATGTGTATCGTTCTATGCCAACAAGCTTCTGGATTTTTCTAATAGCTCTAGGCCTTCAATATTTAGAAAAAAGATTTGAAACTAGCACCTCTGATTCTAAACAGGAACAAGAGGCCCAATGGGCCTGCATCGCTCACCTGGTATAAAACTCACACTTGTAGCCTTAAAAGTGATCTAAAATAAAGCTACAGGCAAAATATCAGCATTTATGATTAAAATTCGTTCCAAAGACCCTGTTATTTTTTTTTTAAACATTTCACCCCTGTGATTGAAAGTCGAACAAAGTCATAATGTTGAACACATTGTATAGCCTTTCATCTCAGAATGCAACTTGCAAAGTATAAACATCCTGGGACCCATGGTTATTCATAAGAGGTTGTTTAAAGATTTTCAACAAATTTGACCCCTGTGACCTTGAATATAAGTCAGTCATTTATTTGAACAAACTTGGTAGCCCTTGATCCTAGTATGCGACTGATTAAATATCATCACCCAGGGCATTTTGGTTATTCAGAAGAGGTTGTTTAAAGTTTTTAACATATTTGACCCCTGTGACCTTGAATATGGGTGAAGGTCATTTGTTTGAACAAACTTTGTAGCCCTTTATCTCAGCATGCTAATGGCCAAATATCATTATCCTGGGCATTTTGGTTATTGAGAAGAAGTTGTTTAAAAGTTTTTAACATATTTGACTCCTGTGACCTTGAATATGGGAGAAGGTCATTCATTTGAACACACTTTGTAGCCCTTCATCTTAGCATGCTACTGGCAAAATATGATCACCCTGTGCATTTTGGTTATTGAGAAGAAGTTGTTTAAAAGTTTTCAACATATTTGACCCCTGTGACCTTAAATATGGGTGAAGGTCATTCATTTGAACAAACTTTCTAGCCCTTCATCTCAGCTACCTACTGACCAAATATCATCACCCTGGGCATTTTGGTTATTCAGAAGAAGTTGTTTAAAGTTTCTAACATATTTGACCCCTGTGACCTTGAATATGTGTAAAGGTCATTTATTTGAACAAACTTTGTAGCCCTTCATCTCAGCTAGCTACTGGCCAAATATCATCACCCTGGGCATTTTGGTTATTCGAAAGAAGTTGTTTAAAGTTTTTAATATATTTGACCCCTGTGACATTGAAAATAGATGAAGGTCATTTATTTGAACAAACTTGGTAGCCCTTCATTCCAGTTTGCTTCATCACCCTGGGCATTTTGGTTATTCGAAAGAAGTTGTTTAAAGTTTTTAATATATTTGACCCCTGTGACCTTGAAAATAGATGAAGGTCATTTATTTGAACAAACTTGGTAGCCCTTCATCCCAGTTTGCTTCTGGCCAAATATCATCACCCTAGGCCTTTCGGTTATTAAGGAGAAGTCGTTTAAAGTAAAATATTGACGCCGGATGGCGGACGGACGGACGCTGCACCACGGCATAAGCTCACTTGGCACTTCCTTTGAGCCCCACCCTACAGCCCTTGGGGGTAGGGCTGGCTCAAAATTTTCAAAGTAACAAACTCAACTCAAGGTTATAATTCCAATCAAGTTATTAACATGTAATATGTAACTTTGCCCCCTCCCCAGGGGTAAACGAAAGACCCCAGGGTCAAGAAATTCACAATTTTGGTAAAGCACCTTAAGATCCTTCCATATATGAAGAGTATTTGATTCTACCATATCTGAGATATTTGATTTTTGAAATTTTAGTCAATTTTACCCTTTTTTACCCCACCCCTCAGGCCCCTGGGGGCTTTTGACTAAACCGGCCACTATTTTGTGGACCTTTGGCCATGGAAGGTCCCTGCAAAATTTCATTGAAATTGGTCCAGGGGTTTTGGAGGAGAAGATTTTTGAAGTTTTAGTCAATTTAACCCTTTTTGGCCACGCCCCTCAGGGCTTGGGACTTAACCGGCCACTATTTTTGTTGACGTTTGTCCATGGGTGGTCCCTGCAAAATTTCATTGAAATTGGTTCAGGGGTTTTGGAGAAGTCGAAAATGTAAATTGTTTACCGACGCACGACGATCGCAATAGGTCACTTGAGACTTTGTCTCAGGTGACCTAATAAAATCTAAGGTAATTTATTTTTAAAATGTTCCAAATATTCCTGTTAATATTTTTTAACACTAAATTCCAGCAAGTTAATGAATCCATGTATTTTTGGTTCCTTATTATAAGTCAAAAGAGTGTTGATTCGACTCCTTTGTCCTAGTACAAGTTCAAGGACATTTCAGTCATCTGCCTGCTAGTCTGTTGTAGATCCAAGATTTTATTCCTTTTTGGCTACAAGGACCCAAACTATTGTCCTTTGCAAATCTAACTTTCATCCCATATGGACACTTTTTGTCCAGTTTGGCTGTACATGGCCATGTGGTTCTTCAGAAAAAGAGGTTAAGAAACGTTTGACAGAAGGCAAGAAATTACAATAGCTCATGATCAGTTGAACTTGGAGCAGGTGGTTTGGTTGTGGTTTGTATGGTCATTTAAGGGCATGCCTCCATGTATGTTGCATATGTGTGCACACGTGTATGTAGGCAAAGTATAGATAAGTTAATAATTACCTCCACATTTTACACAACTGATTTTTGATTTTATCAGTCTGCAATAAGACTTGTCTGTGACTTTGACAACAAAACACATGTTACAATCAGAATTCACTTGTTTAATAATCATGTACCATGGAATAACACAATAAGGCACTAACAATGTTCTAGTGGACACTGAATAACATATAAAACCCCGACACTGGACAGGCTGTAACTGACCACATCCTGAAGTATCATACACACAACACAGTAATACCCTGTCGGATGTGTATGTGCCTATCTAGTGGGGTTTATGTTGAAATCCAATGTGAAGAGGATATTGTAATTTGTTATTTTTGATTTGTATTTTTTTCATGTTCCAAACTTACATAAAAATTATTTTCCATGCAAAAGAGCTTATTTTAAAACTCATTTCACATCCAAGATTTTTTTCTTAACCTAAAGGTTGGGTTGTATTACTAATACAAAAATGGTAAATTTAATTTTACAACAATATGGTAGATCACATTTCCATAAAAGTCCACCTTTTCAATGTCGATTCTCTCAGAAAAAATAAAGGAATAAAAATATAACAATGAATTATTTCAAACATAAAATCATGGTACATATCATCAAAAAAGATATCCGAGTTTGTTTAAGAAAGACAGCACTTTCAAATTACACATGTAATTTTTCAAAGGACTGTTTTTGATAGTTGTTAGATTTTATTTTTCTTTGAAGCAATAGATTTTTTAAACTGTTTGGCAACCCCTCCTTAACATTCCAAAACAATTCATTTCACGAAACAATGACAATGAAGAATCGAGTATTAGAAATATAACTGCCCCAATTAGCTGGAACTTCATATTTTCTTTCAATTTCAGTGATCATATCCACAACATAACATTAAGGAAACAGCACATTTAGTTTCATTATTAATCACAAAAATCTGAGACTTGATTTTTTTGTGTAAATCTTTGGAGGACGGTTGAAGAATTTCATCAATAGTATGCTTGAATACCGACACTTGAGGGTTGAATTTTGTGACAAAAGTCCAAATTTACTCTAAAATCGTAATATTTTGAAATTTCAAAATTAGCTTGCTTCAAATAAAATAGAAAGATTTTCCATGTGGCCAATTAGCAAATCTTCATAACCGTTGTGACAAAAAATTACTTGGTCTACCACGTCCACACCCTAGTGATACTTTTATTACTGTACCGGAATAATGTACATACGCACCTAGTCTTATCTGAAGTGTTACAATTTCATTCCTGAACAAAATTTCTAGAAACCATCAACTTTTTTGTACACCTCAAATATTGTCTTGTCATATACATCAGACATTCAGTACTACTGCGGTTTCTTTCGTCAAGTTTATACTACTCTTTCCTGATGATCATCTATTCTAGTACCGTCTGGATCAGGAGCTAAAGCCGTCTAGTGACCCGCATCTTAATACCACTAGGGTGAGGTGTTTTTGACCAGGACAACGAAAACCATCTGGATGGACTACAGCAGACAGTCAATGAATCTAGTCCAAAAATCATGAGCTTTACAATATAGTACCACTCCAATCAATGGTTGTCTGCTGTACAGAGGGAGGCGATTCAAGGTAGTTGTACAAAAACCTGTAATCGTCGAAAGAATGAATACATCACCTTACTACACCGCCTCAGAATCACAAGTGGATCCATTACTAAGACAGACCAAAGGTCTGAAACAGGCGTATTATATAGTTTAGGATGTACAGTATTTCACTTTGAACGTCGTGCCCCCAGCCCGACACATTAGTGTAGACCATGAAGCAATATGTGCAAACAGAAATACAGATATTTTATGTAAACTACTTTTACATGCTCGTGGATTTGACATTCATGTTCATGCTCTTTTGTCAAATTCTACTATCATTTTCGGATTAGTTGCTTAGTTCTGCACCAGTTCAATAAGTCAAAGATAATGTTTGAGCATGCAGACAGTAGTGTCATAACGAGAAACACAGAAGGAGACGACTCCCCTTATGTGTATCTCTGAAAGCAAGACTCCATCCATGTCGAGCTTCCTGTCACACAAAGAGCATGTCATTGCATCTATCGTAAAGTGGATACTGTCCACTTT